CTGTAATAAGTATATATTTCACAGAGATGCAGAAGAGGCTGCTTGCACTCTTGTAGAATGGGCCCTCACCACCACTCAAGGAATGAATAGGAGATAATTGGTAACAATGCATAATGCAGTTGGACTTCTATTTAGAAAGCCTGCTGTAAGATTAGCTTGATTCCTTGAACTCTGCTATACCAACAAAAAGTCTAGGTATCTTTATGATTGCATTTGTTCTTTGTAGGTAAAAACCCATTGTTCTTCAGATCTCTAAAGCAGTAGTTTTCAGTCTGGAGTCTGCAGATCAGTGGTCTCCAACCCTTGTAAGCATGAGATCACTTTTTTAATTATCCAGGATCTACCCCAAACCAAAACATGCTTGCCCTGCCTCCTTCCCACCCCTTCTCCGAGGCCTCGCCCCTGCTCACTCCATTCTTTCACCCTCTCCCATCCTCACTCACTTATCAGACTGGGGGCAGAAGGTTGGGGTGCAGGGTAGGGGAATACAGACTGATCTCGAGCTAAAGGATCTGGAGTGAGAGAGGAGTTCTGAACAGCAGGGGTGCTCAGGGTGAAGGCTCTGGGAAGCAGGGGGACTCGGGGCTAGGGCAGGGATTTGGTGTAAACAGATTCAGGACTGGGACTGGGGTTGGATGTGGGCTCTAGCTGGGCACCGCTTACCACAGGTGGCTTCTGGGTGGTGATTCAATGGACTAAGGCAAGCTTACCCTTATTCCCAAAAGCAGCCAGCAAACTCTCTCCATCCCTGCCCTCCCTTCTCCCTCCTACTTCTTCCTGTTCCCTGCACAGCATGCAAGAAGCTCCCAGGGGTGGGGCGCAGCTCCCATACAGAGTGCAGGAGCAGCATGGCAGTGCTCATGGGGCAGATGACGTGCCAGCACTTGATAGCGTCCTGGACACACCTGTCAGGATCACCTGTCAAAAGCTTGAAGATCTACTAGTAGGTCCCCATCTACTGGTTGATGACCACTCCTGTAGACTGTATAAGATTTCCAAAGGGGTCTGCATCTTCGTTTTAAAACAGTAAATGTAGGTAGTGATCCTGCAAGCTTCCACTGTAAAATTTTCATTTTTAATGTCTATTCTTGTTAAGTGAGGTCCACAAATGAAACATGTTGAAAACTACTGATCTAGAATATGAGAACATAAGAATGGCCATACTGGGTCAGACCAAAGGTCCACCTAGCCCAGTATCCTGTCTTCTTGACAGTGGACAATGCCAGATGCCCTGGAGGGAGTGAACAGAACAGGGAATCAGGTAACCCCTCTACTGTTACCAATTTCCAGCCTCCGACAGAGGCTAGGGACATCCTTCCTACCCATCCTGGCAATTAACTATTGATGGACCTAACCTCCATGAATTTATCTAGTTCTTTCTTGAACCCTGTTAATGTCCTGGTCTTCTCAACCTCCTCTGGCAAGGAGCTCCACAGGTTGACCATGCGCCATACAAAGAAAAACGTCCTTTTGTTTTAAACCTGATACCTATTAATTTTATTTGGCGACCCCTAGTTCTAGAGAATTCTCTCATCAGATGCATGCAATTTGGGAAAAATATCAGTAAGTGGATGGCTTGCCATGTGAAACTCTGAAATTACTTTAAGGATGAATTTTGAGTAGGGGCAAAAGGAGACTTTTTCCTTATGATAGTATACATGGTGGGTCTGCCATGAGCACTCCCACCCGCAAACCCCTCTGGCTGATGTGATAGTGACTAGGAAGGCAGCTTTCATTGAGAGATGGGATTTAGAGCATGCAGCTAAAGGTTCAAAAGGAGGAATGGTGAGAGATGAAGGAATGAGATTCCATGGAGCTGTTGGATTCATCAATGATAAGGTAAGTTCCTTCAGGAATTGTAGCCATTGTGGGATGAGTAAAAACAGTGTAGTTATTGATAGGGGTAGAAAAAGCACTGCTGCTAAAGGAACTCATAGAGACCTAATCAAGAGATCTTAACAGTAAATGGATACTGCAGAATAACAGGAGTCCCAGAGGACTGTGGAGTTATATATGTTGGTATATCCAAGAGGAAAATGTCCACTTAGCTGAATAATATCCAGCAAAGTGATAGAATCCTTTGTTTAGTTGAAGATGAATTTAATCACCATCCATGAAATTCTGATCACCCATTTCAAAAGAGATGTACTGGAACTGGAAAAGGCACAGAAAAAAAAAAGCAACCAAAGTTATTAAGGAGATCCATATTGGAAAACTGACAACTAAGAAGGGTTATGTTAGAGGTCTATAAAATCTTGAATCACCATTGAATTCTTAGCCTCAAGTCCAGCACTTGGGCTCAGAGGAGCAATGCCTGATAATTTCCCAGTACATTTGGGCTTAATCTCTCTCACCCAGATTAGTTTGGGGTCTCAGTCTTTTCCATCAGATGCTTTCTAAGCCTTAGCTCCTGACACTGCTGTTGAGTCCTGGGAGAAAGGGGGAGCTAATGAGGCACTTTGCTGAGCTGAAAGCCTCACCTAAGCACTAAAGGCAGGGTTGGTGTTCCATTGCTCACTGAAAAGGAGCAAGTGCAGAACACACAATTCTTGGATCTCGGGTATCTAGACATAATCCCAGTTTGCCAGGGAAAGTTTCCCTGGGACTGGAATAAACTAACATTAGTAATTAAGTTGAAAATAGTAAGCCACTAAAACTACTTACAGTTGATGGAAGATGCTGTGGACACACAATTCTGACTTAGGCCATATGGTTGAAAAAAGGAAGCAAGAGGCGCACTGCTTTGCTCTCTCTCATATGCCTTTGGTTCAGAGAATGAGGAGAACAACTGTGAATGTGCAGATTTACACACACTACTTACTAAAAATCTCTGGACTCAGACATATGGTATGCATGTATACCCTATGAATGGAATACAGATAGGGACCATCACGGGAAAAAAAATCACATTTTTTTCCTAGCAAAGACAAGGCCTTAGAATCGTCAGGGTGTTTGCCTAGCTAGCAAAAAAAGTCTGTACACTGTGAAAACAAGTCAAGAAATAGTGATTTTCAACACTTTGTAATTCATCCCTACCTGAATCAGCAAGAACATAATTCCCTAGTGCTGAAAAAATCCCCTTGACAAATTTCAAATGACTGTTGCAAACAATAGGATTAAAACTATTCAGAGAAAGGATGCAAGAATCTTTTAAAATAGAAAGTGTAGGTAGTGATCCTGCCAGCTTCCATTGTAATATATTCATTTTTAATGTCTATTCTTGTTAAATGCCCAAAGTGACATGGAAACAATTGTGCTGTAATAATCATATTTTCATGACTAAATTTGATTCATAATTCAAGAAGTAGATTGAGTTTTAAAAAATGCCAACCAATAAAATATTTGAAAATAATTAAACATGGACAAACAGTTTTAGGCAAATTACATAGCGATTTCTGCATTTAGGAATAGATTAGACCATGGATTCTCAATCTGTATCATGTTGGGAAATGGGCCCATGACCATATTTGCTTTCTTTATGGATGATGAGAGAGGGTCACAAACACTTTCTGTTTTAACATAAGGAGAAGCTGAAGTCTGCTGCATAAAATTATGCAAAATATATTTTTCTATAATGTTTCCTCTGTAATGTTGCCTTTATTATTCAGATATATGGAAGACTTCAACTTCCATGATTGTCAACACAGTAAACTTCCTAAACACCAACTATAATTATTTTAAATAAAGCACAAAATATACAAGGCCAAAAAACACTAGGATTTCAGGGGATGCCAGTAATATAGGACTTTTAAACAAAAAAACATTGGGATGTGTTAGTTGGCACATAGCACAAGCAACTATCACAATAAACACTGATAAAGTGTATAGATACAGGCTGTGAGGACACAGAAATGAGTATTAGACACAAAAGTTAAAGGTAGTTTTCAAAGTTTTGTGAAAGACTAGAAAATGAAAAAGAAACCAGCACTGAAAAGAAAGGGTTCTAGTGGAACAATTTAGTGGAATTTTACTATTTTCAAAATGAATTTGGTCTTCTAAAAAAAGCTGTCTTCCAACAGAGCTTTCTAAATCTGCTTTTGTAACCTGAAATCTCTAACATGTACACTACAATATGTTGGTCAAGAACATTTTGTATCCAACATTTTTTATTCACATGCACGAAACCATGTTATATAAATGACAGGTACAACAGATACAAAATGATAGGATTAAAGAATTTAAACTAACCTTTTTTTGGGCCAAGAACTGAATCATCTTTTGAGTTTGTAATGCATCTAATATGACAACACCTCCTGATTAAAAGTGATCCCAATATCCATATTGCAGTATTGAAGCCCAACTATCATATAAATATCTAATAATAGTGTTGCCACACAACCTGCACTTTTAATTCCTCCAACTAGTCTCTCCTTGTTAACAAAATACCTTTTATTATAAAGGCATTTAAAGACACAAACCATCTAAGCTTTAATTTTCAAAGCATAGGTTCAACTGCTTACCAGAATTCATAACACGGATTACCAGTGCTTCACTGATTTGTGCTTACAGGAAATGGAATTCTATGTGCACAAACATGGAGGATAACAGCCATTCTGAAGAGGTATACCAGTCCTATCAGGGAATTAGGAACCAACAACTGATTTGTAAATCGCTTCAGTTGCAAAATTCATTGCTGTTAGGAATGTAAGAACGGCCATACATGGTCACACCAATTGTTCATCTTCAGGATTGAACAGAACAAGGCAATCTGAGTGATCCATTGCATATTCCAGTCCCAGCTTCCAGCAATCTAGAAGTTTAGGGACATCCAGAACAGGGGGGGTGACATTCTTGGCAAAAAGCCATTGATGGACTTATCCTCCATGAACTTACCTAATTCTTTTTTTAAACCAGTTTATACTTTTGGCCTTTACAACAGCTGACTGTGCGGTGTGAAGAAATATTTTCTTACATTTATTTTAAATCTGCTATTAATTTAATTGGATGCCTCTTGGTTCTTGAGTCAATTGTTCAGCTTATTGTCTTTTTTTTTTTTTTTTAAAAGGTGAATCTTCACTTACTGACAAGCTCCTGAAAGCAAAGCATTGACAAGTCTCAATTTTAGTTTCAAAATATCTGATGATTTTCTTGAAGCTGCTGTTTCTCCTGTAGTTATGAAGTATTGTAGAAATATTAGCTTGCTACTTTATATTTGGGTTTAATTTCTTTGTGGCTGCAGCAAAGAAACTTCAAATGTGAACCAAAAAGCCTCAAAGACATCTAAGCAAATAAAAAGAACACAAACCATATAATTTAAAAATACATGATGATTTTTAAGGAAATTGCATGATTTTGGGGGGCTCACAAACTTGTCATTTGTCATAATGAAGACAGATCTCAATAGAGAACAGCAGCACACTTGACTATTTGAGCTTATGGGGAAGATATTGACAAGGAAATGGACAATTGTTCTTTGTGCTTCTTCCTGGCAGTCCAGAGCAGCAAAAAGTGAAGGGCACTCATCTCTGACAAGCAGTGATTACTGAGAAGGGGGGCATTATGCTTCACTTTATTTCGCACAGAAAATGATTCAAGTATTATTTTAGCCATCAAGATAGTTATAACAACTTTATTCCTTTCAGTATTCAGAAGTACTCCAGAAAAGTGAATTAGGTCAGCACTGTGTGTAGTTACCAAAACACTAATAAAAGGAGACAGAGGTTTACTGATACAGTACTGTTCCTAGTCAGTACAATAAAATATATTGGTAGTTACGTTCCACTCATCAACTTCCATGTTCAGTTTTATTGGACAGCCTAAAACAGCAAAATGCTGCTACTCTAAGTACTTCTTACTGCATCTACGACCATCCAAAATGATGCATTTCCCAAGGGATTCCTTCTGTGTAGGAGCTAAAGGAGATGGCCTCTAAGTTGCCTCACAGGCTTAAGGAAGGGGCAAGCCTGCAGCATTACAGGATTTAAAGACATGATCCCAGGTCTATCTTAGTAGTTGGCATTATCTTTTCCAGATCCTGGAACAACCTGGTATCTACAGAGCAGAGAGGTACCACCTTTATCTTCCACATCCCTCTTGGTTGTGAGTTCATGCTGCCCCTCTTGGCAGGGCACCACAATTTCACCAACTGAATCCTAGTCTACTTTAGAAAATTAAGGTGATTTAATTACATCCCAGACGGGTATGAAATATCCACACCAGAATGGAGATGAGCTGCCCTAACTTCCACTGTAGACACCATTAAGTCGATGGAAGAATTCTTCTATTGCCTCTATTGGAGGTGGATTATCTGCACAGATCAGAGAACCCCTCTTACTGGTGTAGGTATGGTCTACATTGAAGCACGACTGATGTGCAGCTCTCGTGTTTTAAGTTTAAGATAAAACCTGGGTGTTGTACCGAACCAGCTTTTCCTTTACACAAATATACACATTTCATACTGTACTCAAATGATTGTAGATGTACTCAGTGAAAAATATTAAGACAGAGACCTTTTTGGTGAGAAATATATTTTTTAGATGCCAGTGTGATAAATCATTCCTTTAAGTGTATATGGTCATTATACAGAGCTATAACTTCATAGTGGTAGGAGTTAAATAATATTGGCCTGTCCCCTTTTACGTTGACTAACGGTTCAGAAACTACCATATTCAAGCAACTATAATCTTTTAATAATTTGGAAGAATCCAAGCTGCTCATAATTTTAGAGTGCTTGCAAATCCAAATTCAGATGTGGTGTTGCATGAATGCAGTAAGCATATAATGTGTGCTCATTAACTTTTTCTTGCCTCTAGTTGTAACCAAAGCAATACAACAATAATTCTTCAAAAAAGGTGATTTTCAGGCAGTCAAATCATGACAAAATTTTAAATCACTTCAAAAAGCACCATTTCTAAAAGTATTAATGAACAGTAAGTGTGAAAAATGTAAATTCTTTATTCTGCTGTTTAGATACAGAATAAAATGTGACTTTTCAGAAAAATAATACTATAGTTGCAGCATTGATAGCTTCCAACTGGCTTTTGAGGATAAAGTACATGCACTTTTTTCCAGTTATTTTATTGCACATCATGTACAGTCATACTAGGTGTTGGTATTTACATGTGTTTTGGCAATGTCCATTTTCCCCTAAAAATACATTATTTTGCACAAACAAAACCTTGTTTCACACAAACTGCTACAATACAAGTTGGAAAGGATATATATTTCTATTAAGTCTTCTTTAATAGTTTTTCAGATACAAATTGCCCCTGCTATTCAAATTGTTTCCAATGCAGTCTATCATCAGTAATGGACACCAAAATTGCTGGGACCAAGAAACTAATTCAGCAAGTAATCATCTGGTGTTTATGACACCCACTCCAATGTGGAACTATACCACAACAATTAGTGAGCAGGCACATAGGAAAGAGACCAATGCATTGCAGTTAACCAGTTTGATTCAACATTGATTACCACGTCCATGTAATAATTTGTCTACTTAGTTGAAAAAACAGTATTCCATTAAAATATTATTAAACAAAATGTATTTTTGTATCAAATATTATTAAAATAAAATACGCATTCCAAGTACAATTTCACACTTGCACCTCAGGAATGTTTGCAAAAAAAGTACAAGGACTTCATTATGTACAATGTGCCATTTAGAGTGCCTGTTTAATTATCCAGATACATGAAGTTTCAGAGTTGAATTTTTTCTGCATTCTCTTTTATTGGGTAGCAACATACTTTACTGTGTGCACTTCCTAGAGCATTCTGCAATGCAGAAAACTTGCCTGTGGTCCCCATAGAAAAAAAAGATGTGATTTGGAAATTAAACAGTTTTGTTATGTGTAAGTGGATTTTTACATATTAACTTGTTAAAAGATCTGTTCAAATAGTATATTAGTAAATACTATAACTGTAAATACCAATTAGTAATTTAAACTGGTTAACTATATCCACAAAAGCTATTTTAAGTAAGTGTGTGGGGACTATCAAACATATTTTGATTTGATACGCAGTAAAATTATTTTCTAAGCGGTTGATTTTCTGAAGTATTGTATTTAAGGGTTGTGTTATACTTCTGTTTACAGTTGCATAAAATGTAAATTAAATGTAAATAAAAATGTACTTAAATTGATTCCATTTTATTGGAAAGAACTGCAGTGCAGTAGCTTTGCTGTAATACATGTCTTTTTCAAAATCTGAGACATTTTGCCCCTCCAGAATTAAACATACAAAAAACTTAAATATAGCAACACTGAAGTATAGTTATCAAGCTCAAGCACCAGAAATTCATCTTAAATAGTTGCCTTTTTATAGTTGACAAGATTTTTGGTTACATGAAGAATACATTCATGCTCAATAGTAACATTAATTTGTGTAGAGAGAGTTATTGTACTATTAAGGTTTATTTTCCTTTAGTTTTTTTAAAAAACCCTGTTGTCTGCTGAGCAAATGTTCATTACTATACATAAATGAGAATGAGATGAAAATACCCACTCTATGGGAAAAGTAGGACAGTAGTTCATAGATAATAAAAAATAATGAAAACCATGAAAACAAGTCCTTCCCAGGAAGGTATAAACAAATTTTTAGGCACCTCAAAGTTTAAATGCCTTTACTATTTAAACATGTTACGCATTTTCTATAAAACTGTAAATTCATAGCTATGATGTTATATTACTTAAAACTTTTTATACTGTCTCAATCAATTTTTGGATAGCAAAGTATTTATAGCAGAAGAAGAGAACAGCTCAAAAAGTTTTTTGTACAAATGCAATTTGTTCTAGAAATATCTATTTTCTCTATTTTACAGTTTCATTTGTACAGCTATGTAAATTAAAATAGATGTGTAAATGATATTAACAAATCTAATTGCATATCAAAATACCTAACAAATTAATGGACAAATTAGAATATAAATCTTTGAAAATAACTGAGAACTTTTCACTTTTTAAAATAAAAACTTTATCAAGGACTCAGATGTGTAAATTAAAACTTATCATAACAAATGGAAAAAACCTCACAGTTTTGAACAGATGCTATTCCCTCCCTGAATTTTTATTCCCAGACAAGTAGTGTGGTAGTTCAGAGAAATAAAAATTGTCAATATCTGAGAAATAAGTGATGTGCATTAAGGCATCTCACCAGACACCGGCTGGAAATTATTGTACATTTAAGATCACAAATATGGGAGCCCTATCCATGCTACAAACTAGTAGAAATTAAAAAAAATCAAGTTTCTCTTTAAGTAATTTGCATAGAAGTTCAAAACCAAAAATTTACTACTGCATTTTCATCACTTACATTCCCCGTATTCATGTTGCTACAGTCGTCCACAGGGTTAAAGATCAGAGGTAAAGAATCCTTGTATTGAAAAGGCTATTTCTCAGAGGCACAGTGCAACAGCCTTAGCATTTTGTACTTTCTGTAGTCTGGGGTTGGCAACCTTCAGTGCACAGCCCAGCAGGTTAAGCCATTGTTAGGTTGATAGGCATTTTATGTTGGCTGTGCGCAGGCACGGTCCCCCACAGCTTCCAGTGGCCATGGTTTGCTGTTCCCCTGCCAATGGGAGCTGCAGGAAGTGACACATGGCTGTGCCTGTGGATAGTCAAAATAAAATGTCTGACATACTGCCAGCAGCTTAACACGAAGGGCCATATGCTGAAGATTGCTAATCCCTACTGTAGTCATTAGGAAATGATCAAGCTCGACCTTTGGCTTTTCAGAAGTTATTCTCCCCTGAGCTTGGTTGTAATGACAGACTACAGAAGTAGTACAAAAAAACCCCCAAAAACAAACAAAAAACCACACACCTCCACAAACAAAACAAAACAAAACAAAACAAAAAAGTAAAAACTGTATATCAAGTAGGAAATAAAGTAATCTGTCAGAAAAATCTGTGACGTTTCAGAAGAAAAGCAGGTTCCTTGCTTTAGAGACACAAAAAGTATAGTCCAGTAGTAACATGTGTTCATAAAAAAACAGAAGACAGTTAAAAGATGTGATAATGAATCAGGTGCTTTAAATAACAAATGGCAAATCTCAATGAGATTTACTGTGACTTCAAAATGGTTCAACAAAGAATCAAACTGGTTTTTCTGGGTACACCATCACGATTTACCAATATACTGGCATCTTTGCTCTTTTGCTGTGAGCTGACAGTGATTATTTTAGAGAAAGAGAAAGTAACGTGTGAAATTAGTAATGCAGATGCTGAAAGGCAAGTGGCAAGACTACAAGAATAATGCTTCAAATAACGCTACTTTGTTCCCACCTCTACTGGCACCTATCCCCAAGGTAAAGGCCAGAATGACCAAAGCCAATTTAATAGTAGTGTGCAGAATGTCAGCCGACAAACAACATAAATACAAGTCATGTGTTATCTGTGGTCACGTTCTTCAGGGTTAGTCCAGTAACTCAAGACTTTACATTCTTCTGTCTTTGTTTGTTTATTTTAATTAAACATGTAATGGTTAATAAACAGACATAGTCCAGAGTTAGTAGGTTGGTATTATAACATTTATTAAAATAATGCTATGGGTTAATAGAAACAGCAAAGAACCAAAGAATTAAAATGCAAGCTATGTAAAAACCCAACTAAAACCCAAATATGTCTAATGTATTCATCCAGTAGCTAACTAAAAGCCCAAAAAAGACAACACTCCCAATATAATAAAGTACTGCAAAACAATTGGCAATTTTCAGTTATCAAAATTGTGGGTTTTGCATTTTTGTATCCTTTTTTTCTCAATCAGGAAAAAAATTGAATGTTTTATATAACATACATATAAAACAAGATAGAAAAATACATTATAAACTTGTAACAATGGCTGTAAATACATTATCTTACATGTTTCTCATAGGCAATAGGTTGGTTATGGTACATACACAGCATGAAACTACTAAGATAATAAAGAATAGACAAATACATGTCATCTGTACTGTTACATACAAGCGACACTCCCATCTACCCACTCTAAAAAAAAATTACATAATACTGTCAGAAAGAAGTCCTAAAACTACATATTTTAATAAAGAAAAATTCAATAAAGAATTATAATACTGAGAACCAAGGCATTCAGAGATTTCAAAAGTCATGCTTTTTTAAAAAATTTGATCCAAAATTTTGTCAACTATGTTTTCAAAAGTATGTTCATTCAAAGCAAACATTACTATTAAAGTCACACTTCTATTTCGTTCACTTACTTTCCTCCCTTTGATAAACATCTAAAACTCCAGGCTTATCATAGTTGAGATTAATCTGGATCAAATACTGGTATTGTTTTAGCAAATCTCTTCAAATGTTTGAGTGTCGCAGGTTTATTAAACCAAACAAACAAAAATCAAAATGGCACAGCATATATACTGTAAGTAAAATCAAAACAATTGTATGTGTAACAGGAAGACAAAGCTGGTGGCATGATAAACACAAGCTAGCTGAATACAAAAGGTTGAATGTCTATTGCATAGTAAATAAACTGATAATTATTTCCAGGTGAGACAAGATGTTAATGAGGTCACCATACAGGTGCCTAAACCATAAGCCCTCTTTCTTAGCTTACTATTGACCTTTGATTTGGAAGCTATGAAGGTTTTCAGAAGGAGAATAAGTTGACAAGAGGGGAAATAAATCATCACCTGATATTTGCCAAGTCTAATACTGAGCCATTAGCAAACTGATACTTGCTCAATATTTTCTAATTCAACACTATTCAAAATAATGTCTCAGCTCGTATGCTGGTCCAGTTAGATGAATTTTTAAATAGTTGATGAGTCCCTTCTGCTTTTCTTTAGAGTAAATTTTTTTGGGACATGCATAGGTCAAACTTAAAATTAGTTAAATGAGTTCAATTTAATTATCCACCAAACTTTATTCCGTGGATAAGTATAAGGTCTGCTATACTTGTCAATATTTCAAATGAAGAAAGCTCCATGCTAACCCCTGAACAAAATGGAGCACTTGCTGTCCTATAAATATTTGTCAGCTAATGCTCTCATTTAGAATGAATCAAAACGCTTTGGTTTAGATTGAGCAAGTATACAAAATACAACATACATTACCTATGGTTTGAGATGGTAAAAATGTTGCAAGACTAATGAGGGCTATCAACTGATAGAAAAATAATCACATGTTTCACATTATAAGATTTGGCAAAGTTGCTTCATGCTAATATGGCAAAAATCAGGTATTTCAAATGGTCAACTCATTTGTCTTCCTTTCCCAGCTTCTTTTCACATACTGGGCGACTAAGTGGCATGCATTAACTTGTTGTTTGAGGGAGGAGCGGATTATACGAGACATTTGACTAAATGACCATGAAGAAAATAAGGCACTTCCTTTTCTTTAGACTTATTCCAATACTTAAAAAATAAAAAAGAAAGACAAAAAGGCTCTTTTGGTCATTTGTTTCTTGACAACCACCAGAAAAAATTATTTAATGAAATAAAGGGTTTCTTCTTTGTTCTTTTTTTCTTTTTTTATAACACTTGAAAGTATAAAATGCTACATTTCCAAAAATATATTTTTTCTGCACCAGCACCCTTGTATAGTAAAAGTATCTACTTTTTTGTTCATTTTGTTTCAATGCACTACACTTTATCTACAATTTCATTACATGTATACAGCAAATAGGCAAGCATGGCTTTTACATCCTTAATGAAATTTTTCTATACAGGGAGGTTTAAAAAAATATTTGAACAGTTTGCCCAGTAATGTGACACATAATGCATGTACCTTGTTCTCGTGTAATCTTTTAAGAAAATTTAAATATGGTTAAGGTAATCTTAACTCAGATTTTGCTTTCGTAGTGTTGCTGTTTTGTTCTTTGCATTAACATAGTTGTAAAAATTCATTGAAATCTATCTTTCATGGCACACGTTCTTTTAAAACATCCAATTTGGCAGGCAATAGAAAAAAGGCTGCAACTTTTGCCCTTTGACGGCACTGGTAGTGACTAAACAGCAAGTCAAATTTTGAATACTTTTTGGAATCCCTTCACCAATGACATCCCTGACCAAAGGTTCATGCATGATGCATCATCACACAGTACATTCAAAGAGAGCTTTGACTTCATTATGAGAAGAAAAAGATTCCTAGAAGTCGCTCACAGTAACTGCCTCTGTCATTGGGTAGTTAAGGGACATCTGTCTCCATCACTTAAGTGAGGCCTTCTTACCGTTCGTTTAGGGTGGGATACTAAAGGACGATCAGTGCTGAGGGATGAATTGGACCTTATTGCTTTACTACTATTCAGTGCAGGTTCTAGAACCACTTTCACCCAAACAGGAAAAAAAAGCTGAGTTGGAGGACAATTTCTTTGTCTTTTTTGTTAGATGGTAAGACGAACGGACAAGTGCCTCAGCTCGCTGCACTGAAGACAGGCAAGCAAAGGCGATTACCAGTTAACTGATCAGCAGGCAGGCATGGTCAGGTCATCATTGGGTGAAGAGTTCAGAGGTCAGAAGGTCATAGGTTAGTTGCCGGTGGCGGCTGGGTGGTTAGAAACAAAAACAAAACAAAACAAAAAAACAAAATAAAAAACAAAAGAGAAAGAAAAGATAGAGAAGAGATTAGTTTCAGCTAGTGACGGCTTAATGACAACATGAAAACTAATCACAACTAATAAAAAAACAAGCATGTTTAATTCTGACGCACTGATTGACACCATCTACAGAATGCAATAAAATCATGACAGGCTTGTATCATGATTTAAACATATGAAGGAGAAGCCCACTCCCACAAAACTGGTTAACAGGAAAAAATAGAAATAAAATACAACTAACAACTAATGGTTAGTAGCAGTCGATGAAGGAAACTGGAAAACAAAAACAATGAATAGTTTTTGGAACTTGGTAAAAGAATTTTGAAACAACAGTCAGCGCAAAGAATCAGTATCTGACTGCTATTAAGCATTAGTATTTTCCCAGGTGCAAGCATTAAAGCACTATTAATGATGGATGTGATTATTAATAACTGTTTGTTAAAAGAAATGAATCTAAAGACTAAATTTTCATAAACAATTTGGTTTAACATAAACTATGGGCCAAACAAGGTTTCTTTTGTTCAATAAAATTTTTATTGCTTTTCAATTATTCTATTTACAAACAACATGGAATTTCTTGGCCTCATGATACAAAGCAATACTAAACTGTGGTCTAGCAGTGTAGGCATCATCATGGGAACCAGGCAGAGGCTAAGCCTATAATTTTAGCCAGCATTTTCCTGTTGAAAATACTATTTTACACATATAGGACACTTTTAAAATGCACTTGCATGTAAACACTGTAAAAGTCTTGCCATTTTAAATTCTATACTTCAAAAGCTCTAAGTACATCAAAAAATAGAGAAAGTATCTAACTGATACTAATAAGGCATTTAAAACTAGAGACAGCTTTCTTTATTCATTTTCAAAGCTAATACTCTGCAAATA